CTTCTTTTTTCTCGTAGAATCACCCCCCTTCCGCTTGTACCACCAGTCACCAACCACCCTGTATAAATCTTATCTTCAAGGAGGAAAGAGAGACACACGACATCGAACATGTGTTTCGCAAAAATCTCCGAATCACCAAATTTCAAATCACCACATATCAAATAAACTTTCAGATAAGTTATACCTGTTAGTAGAAACAGTTAGAAGTTATTGTTATTTCAGGACAGTTAAGAATAAACACATATGAGACAAGAATTTTCTGCTCCTCGATATACAACAAGATAACATGACACGTTGTAGATGTTGCGTAGAACGCGACGAAACATCTGTGCCTCTTCGCTTACAACCGATATAATTTTATCTCAGTTTTTCTTATATAAAGTTAATCTTTTGTAACATTTTTAGTAGTCAGTTACTTAATGTAAACGCGAACCTTGGTATTTGTTCTTTCAAACTTATTTGAAAAGTGAACCCTGTAAAGGTAGCTAACGAAAATCCTCCAAAGTAATTTTACTTGTAATTGTCTGCGAAATCATTAAAAACTTTTCGTGGGCAATATTCCAGTATGAACGCGAGGAAAGTTAATTTCTGAACCATCGCGAAGAGGACATAAAGTGGCGTTTCCGGATGGATTTTCGCGCGTGGGCACCGGCACGCTTTGAAGACTCGCGTCTGTGCGCTTCCTCCTTACATCTTCGCGCGTTCTTTTCGCGTTAGCCAACTGCGATTCGCACGTCCGACTAGCGTGAAGTTTCGTCATCGCGTTAAAATAATTCGTTAAACAAAAATGTCTTGAGTTTGAAATTACTTCAGTACTATCGTGTTTAATATTAAATAAACATATATAGAGGTAAAAAGTTTTTTTTTAGAAGGCAAGAAAAAAAAGGGTTTAAAGTGGGAAAAATTTAAATTAGGGAGCTATTTAAAATTTTTAACACAGCTTTTAAATATCTTTCTTCAAATTTTATTTGTATTTATACATTCGTTATCCAATTTATCTTAAAAGAGTCGTACACAAACTATCAATCGCTGTTTACAACATCCTATGATACTATATTGTAATGTGATAAAGTATCTTGCAATTGACTCGTACCGTGAGTGCATACAATTCAGATGTTATTTCCAATAACTTCTTCAGTGAATCAGTAAAAACAGCTGATCGAAATGTGATAAGCATAATTTGCGTTACACAATTTAAATATTTTGTATACATTCATTGTTATCTTACCTATGCTTGCCGTGGGAAGAAAATAATTTTATAAAGAAGTTTCACCTGTCGCGCTTACCAAAAACTGTCACTGAAAGAGTTCGCAAAGAGCAATGTTGATTATAGTATGAAATCGAAATAAAACGACCATTTTAAATTTGTGAGCGACTGAGATTCGATCGATTTCTTCTTTAAGTAATCACAGCATTATTATATTCGCGATCTCACAAAGCATTTTGATGTAGCACATTAAGAATGATCATTTGCAACTGTAATAAATTAAACGTTAATACGAATACTTTTTTTAGCATTACGCAAATAAAAACTATATCACATAACGTAAAGGACTACTTTGCGTAAGTAGGTACATAGGTGTATATATATATGTGTATGTGTATGTATATAGAAATCTCTGATGAACAGATACTTTTGAAATCGTTGATCCATTGGTCAAATCTTAATTCATTATCTACCAAATCGTCATTTATAAATGTATGTCGTATCAAAGTCCGTCATCTTCTAGATTTCCATTCATAATTCTACCGGCTAACTATTACATGATGGGAGTTTTTCACGCTGATTAAGAAAAATCGAAAGAGGAAACTGAAAACTGGTTTCGTTAAGTTTTCAGTCTTAATGCTATCACTCTGTACAAGTATAAATAAATATTCACGTGAGCACGCACACACAGGACATGTATAAGATACATAAGTACGTACAATAATAAGTATGTACAATATTTGATGTATTAATGCGGAAGTTCACAATTGTAGTAGACTATGTTCATTTCAACTAACTTTGGGAGAACCAACTTAAAAGTATCGAATAACAAACAGTCAAAGGATCTTCAATGATTTCAATCGAATTACCCTGAACATGATATTTTATGATATAAAACTACATCACTTAGTCTAATGTTAAGAATTATATACAACACATCTCGAATATTTTTACTCAAATCAGTCGAGGATGAAAGCAAATTGAACAAACACGAATATTTATAATTGTTCCCCAACTTAAATAAAGTTATGTAAAGTAAATAATTAATAATGGCACAAACTTGAAACTATGCTCAACGATACCCGAATAACTTTAATTCAAACTAGAAATAAAGAATTGTGGGAGAAGTCCACTTTGACTGTGAAATTATTGTATATAATATGTATAATATATATATATATGTATCTACATCTATAACCTAATTACTAAATCTCACTAAATATATTGGTTCGTAATGAAAATCACAACATTGCTTTATTGTTACAGACAAGGATAATGATTTACCATTTCCATGATAGTCATTAAAAAACGATAATCAATCATACTATAAATATTTAGAATTAACAGATAAAAATAGATTAAAAGATAATAAATAGATTAATAAATTAGATTAAAATAGATTAATAAAAATAGATTAAAAGATAATAACCCTCAATTCTGAAAATCAAGAGTGTATAATCCTTGCCAGTAACGTGTCCTTACAATGATGAAATCCTGCGAATCGATATCCGAAAAGTCTACTAAAACACAATATGGAAATTCGATATTACGATAATTAAAATTTAACAGCAATAGCATTACAAAAATGTAGTTTGTACACATAACTTTTTATGTACAATGAAAATACATACATACGACAATTTAACATTTAGCCTTTATGTTTTTGTACAAATAAACCTCCTTCGATAAAAAGCAGTATTTATATGAAATTTTCTGCAATTTCTTGTAATTTCTAAAAAAAATTAAGTTATGTAATTAATATAGGATGAACACTATAGATTTATGAAAATTATGAAAATTTAAGATATGTACTGATTTGAATTATATATTACTGGCATTCAGTTGCATACGTAAACTGAAAGAAATACACGTAAAAAAATTTTTTTAACAATTTTCTTCTAATTTGAGCGTATATTTTTACGCGTAATAACAATCTCTTGAAATAATACAGTCAAAACCTGTCTTAAATATTATTAACATAAAAAATAAAAACTTTTAAGGCTTTCTTCACGCTCGTTATTTTTTTATACTATAACAATTATTGTACTATTTATAACAATAAAAAAATATTTACTATTCAATACAGATTAATCAACGAATAAAACTAAAGATATATTAAAATAGAAATTTTTATACACAATAATTTTATACACAATCTCTATTAAAGTTAATATAAAGATATGACATCAATATAAAAAACATTATAAATACTGCCGACAATTCCTACATATTTTATAAAAGTACCCTTTTCATATTATTTAATGCTAACACATATTTCAAAATTTAAATTTACAAGTAAAATTCTATGATAAAGCATGCACAACAAAATTTTGTTGTGAAAACAGTATTTAAAGAACTGAAATACTTTGGTGCTTCTTTATGTATGCAAATGAAAGCTAACATAAAAGAAGATCTGAGTAAAGTTAATTTTATAGCAAAATATTCCTCTGAAAATTTACAAAGTACGATTACAGCAAATATGCAAAGGGTTTATTATAGCATCTCTCTGATGTTTTACTTTACATTTTAAGGGATACTTGATAATATTGATATACATCATACGAATTTTGAATAATTTATAATATGGTTTTTGTAATTTGTTTAATCAAGCAAGTAGCAACATATATATTATTAGTGTGCATACTTCTCAATATTATAATTTACATGAATCTAAATTATAGATACAATCTCATATATTTCAAATGCTTTGAAAAAGTTGTAAGACATAATTGAATTAGGAAAATGATTGTAACTTTTTTATTTTGGCAAACTGTTATTCATGATTGCAAAAATTAGCACTTTAAGCACATGCAGTAATTTATTATTACTTAATATTGTACAATCATTTTCTGTGCCAACTTTAATCCATAAAAATGAACCACTCTAAAGGCTATAAACAGAAGCAATTAAACTGAATTATGAATTGGTTTGACTAGATTAAAAAAAAAATGGGAAAACAAGAAGAAAAAACGATTAAGTTTTCATTCAAAGAAGATTCCACTTATGTCAAATATCTAATAATATATATATAATATACAATATATTAATTAATAATATATAATATATTTGCCAATTTTTCTCCTATTCATCCTATTAATAGCCAACAAACATAAAAAAATAAGACACTGTTTGGGATTTACCATTTTAAAACATCACAAGTTTGCTGCAAAAGCAATTAAAATAATGAATAATAAGAAAAAGTATAACTTAACTTCGTAAATATTTTCATTACATTTAAAACAAAGTACTTCATTGGTAGTTTCATCTATAATTTTTCTATTTTTCAATAATATTAATTTTTATAATTGGATGTTTAATAATTATCTTTTTCCAGTAAATAATGACTCTATAATTAGATATTTATCATATGTTAAAAGAATTACAAAACTAAAAGCAATTTAAAACAACAATGAAATTTTGTAATATTAAATCTTTAAATGTTTAAATACATATATTTTAAAATAAACTTTTCGTGAAACAATAAAATTTTATGCATCTTTTTTAAAGCACGAAAATCTTTTTTTAATATCTATAGTAAACCTTAGAACTTTAAAAGCTTCGGAAACATAATTTCATTTATACATTATAAAAATTGGAAGAAGCATTTACATTTATATGGTTAAATCACTATAACTGTTGTCTCTAAGATTTAAAAGTACTCTATTGACTCTAAACTTAGCAGTTGTTGTTTCCTCTTTATAAGTTTGTCAGATTACCTACAACATTGTATAATTAACATCATCTTTGTGTATAAGTTATTGTGTCTCAGAAAGGAATTATTAACTACGCTAAGTACTATGCATAACGTAATTTTTTGACCATTAAAAACAAATTAAAAATTATATAAGTACTTAAAAGATTTGAACATATTTAAGTGTTTACAATGTTTCAAAAGTATACACTGTTATTTGTAATTCTTACAGCTTGTTACGCATAATAACACACAATGCAGCAATTTCCACCATTCCGTTCAATTACTCTAATTACAAATACGCATGTTTATAAATTTACGAAGTATTAAACAACTTTATCATATAAGAGCTTCGTATTATTAAAGCTCACTTATTGTAAATAGTCATATTAAGAAAAAATGAAATATTTTGTAATATCCCTTCTGAAATTATTCATGCCTATCAAGCTGTTTATAACTGTTACCAACATATTATTTTTTTACGATATTACAGAATAACAAATTAGTTAGTAACCATAGTGTATCTATTCGCTTTTAAATTCTTATTCCCTTTTACTTATAATTTTGTACGTTATTATATAAAAAGAACTCTATGTATTGTACTTTTCATAATTGTTTCGGAAATTTTAATTTTATGAAGAAAATGTTCTGGGCCTACGTAAGAAAAACGTCGTGAAAGAAGGTCAAGATTCGTATATTAATCTCTGATAATGTGGAAATATCTCCCATGTTGGAAGATGTAAACCAAATTCTAAGGCCACCAAAACAGCAAATTCTGATGTAATTAAATCCTTGCGGTTTAGACGAAATACACTTTCAATTCTCTGTAAATCGCATAAAACTTTAATCCAAAAGTATTCCCCATGTAATATTGATTCACATAATAATATAATATATTGATATCATATGTTTACATATGAAATAAATACCTCTATTAATGATTTGAGGACATCACCCTTAACATCATTCAATTTTGCTGCAAGAAGCAAACATGCACCAGCACATAATTTCCGCGTTTGTTTCGTAACAACATTTCGAAGAATAAGTTTTTCAAAGTATACATAAGCCATTGCTACTGTTAGGAGATCAATACCATATTCCATTTTTGCTATTTTCCTCATTTCTCGTTTTAAGCTATAGGTATATATCATTGTAATATATAAATAAATATCGCATAAAAAGTACTACATACTTATAGATAACGTCATATTTTTTAATACTAACCTTCTTAATTTACTCAAGGTAAGTTGTATATGCGGAAATTTTTCTTTAAATTTGTCATTCAATTCTTTTTTTAAGTCAGATGGTCTTACATAATCGATAACTGATGCCTATATAAAAAATAAGTAGTTACAAAAAAATATATTATTGTACATTATATCACAAGCTTATAAAATATGTATATATACCATGTATGATGTAAATGTAAGCAGTGTTCTATGTTTTCCAGCTATGAGTTCCGGATCATCCAACAAATTAGGATTGTATTGTAATGATTGCTCATCCCAATCATAAGCTATAATTACAAAGAGAAATATTTCATTATCATATATTATTTTGTTTACTACTTCAAATGATTTATACACTATACCTTTAGAATCAGCATTAAAAGATAGTGGTGGAGATTCGGGCGTTAAATGCTGAGTACGATATGTAGCTGTATCATATGATAAACACCTGGAAAAGGTTTCAATGTACAAAGCACAGCATGGAAAAGTAACAAGCACGTGTAATTTGTTATAACCATCAAATATTTTATACATAATACGGCATAATAAATCTAAGAATAACTAATAAAAATTAATTAACATATATGCGTTAAAGATGATTATATGTATATAAATGAACATATAAATGTACATATAAATGAAAATGTATATGATATGTATATTAATGATGATACGCAAATATTTTATCTATTCACCAATTCTAAAATGAAAGTTTCTATTTTTATTAAAGATATAATATTCACACAAAAGTAATTACTTTTCATTAACAATAGCAATACAAATTCAATTATCACTCAAATAAAGATTTTTTTTCTATATGTATAATAAACATATTTTTTTATTTGAAACTAATCATACAAATCCTGTATTATAATACATGTGCTATGTATTTAGTGTTGAAAAAGATATACATAGTTATATACTAATAAGAATTGTCTATGCCAAATTAATTAACAATATAAATTATACTTCATATTTTCTACTGTATACAATTGTAATATAAATCTTTTTTTTAGTACAATATGCTTATATGTTTTACCATTTAGAGTGATCCACATTCCATGTAATAGTTTTTGTCCTGCAAAATATGGTTGAAAAGTTTCATTACAAGAAAAAAAAAATTGTGCAATGCATATTCTGTGAGAATATATAAGTGAAATATGGAAGATGAATGAAAATATGTGAAACAGGAAATATATAAAAATACTATATTATATGGAAAATTTTTTCAAAATTATGTAATATAATATTACAAAATATTTGTACTTACGAAATGGGGATAAAATACTAGACAAAAGTGGAAATATATTAAGTAATTACACAAAATAAATACCTTGAAACTACAGGATGTTTGTTAGGTATAAGTTCTATTGCCTCATTATCACTAAAATGTAACTTTTTGTCCTTTTGAAACTGTCTAGATGGGACAAGCAACTGCCCATAAGATATTTCCTAAAAATATTCAAAATTTAAGGAATTTAAAGTTCATTGCATATAGAAGGTGATCTTGTTAGTTAACAAAAGCAGTGTTGCAAATCAGACTGTGAATGACATTCTCCAATATCAGCTTCTTATAACAGATCATATAAAACAATATAATATTATCACTATAATAACAATGCTTTTGAATTAACTAGTAAAAGAATCACCCTGTATTATTTAATTAAATACCTGGCCGTCTTTAGCACGCTCTATTCCCAATAAACCAAAAGGGTCAATATTATCATTAATTGCTGATAATGGTCTCTGTGAAGATATATTTTTTCTTCGTCCTGTGTCTTTACGCAATTCAGACCTACAAGAAGAAAAGATCTATAGTTATACTATACTACAAGAAATATTATGTATTTTAAATATAGCATTATTCAATTTTTATTATATTTATCTTACCAACTAGATCTTTGTCCTTTATTATATGGAAGAGCAGAAAATACTAGAAATGGCACACGTTTATTAGAAACCAAAACCAATCTATCATCTCCAAACTTATAACCATTTACAGGTCGTTGCATTAAACGCAATTCTCTTGTAACTTCTGGTATTATGCCACTATTTGCAGAACCAGATTGTATATTATTTGATGTCTTTGATTTTGATTTTGAGGATTGTGGTTTTGAACGTAAAGAACCAATACTTTCATTGGAACTGTTATATTGATGCTTTATATCTTCCGAAAGAGTTGATGTTTGATGAGTTATACGCTTTTTATATTGTAAAGAACCAACTCGCCTTTCAGGTAAAGAATATTCACTGCCAGTTGTGCCAGTACTAAGAAACAGAAATAAATACCTTATATTTTCTATTCTTAATAATATATGAATATTGCACAAAATGTTATTACTGAATGAATATTACATGGAATATAGATTTTATTAGTTCTAAATCTATCATCTAATGTACATAAATGTTAATTTTATATGTAGAGAAAATTATAATAATTTTAAATAAACTACAACATTGAACATTTGGTACTTTGACTTTATACTATTGAAGTCATATCACTCCAATATATAACTTATTTAATATTATTTTGAAAAATAAGGCAAATACTAGTTAAATGTGCTGCTCTCTCTATATATCCTTATGTTGTATCTTTTACATTCTTCTTATCTTTTTCTTATCTTTAATGAATATATTTCCTACTTGTTTTATAAAATCAATAAAATCAATACTGATATAGATTACTACTAATGTACAAAACATTAAAAATGATAAAAATGAAAGACATGTTATTAAGTATATTACAAAATATATAACACATTGAATATAGAATATTAACTATAATAATTGTAAGAAATAGCTATGTAATAAAAAAGAAGATTATTTTGATAAAAGCATTGTATATTACATAACTTTTAATAGAATTCTAATTTGTTATTTAAAATTTATTCTTTAATTGCATACATATAGATAATAATCATAAATATTGAAAATTATAATAATTATAAATTTTATTAGAAATGAATAATTATATCAATTATTATTCTAGTTATATAAAACAATTTATTTAATTCAATAAGGGTATATAATAAAATCAACAATTTAATTATTTATATGTAAGAAAGTTTATGTAATATTTATGAACATCTCTAAGTAGTATTTATCTTACTTTTTATCTCATAAAGAACATCAAAACAACTGAAGGAAATCTTTATAATATAAACAATCGATGATTTAGTTTCTGTAAATACACACACCTCACATATACAAACTGCGAAATTACAAAAAATCAAACCTAAAGCTAATATCTTTGGTAAGGTGGAACAGAGTATAGGTTACATTTAAAGGAATTCAAACAATTGTTTACCGTTCTCTGAATGAACTATGAAATCCAGTAGAGAGCTGTGGATAATTTCTTTCTTGTTCTAAGAAAACAGCCACTGCTGCCTTCGCAGGAGTCAGTATCCCGTCAGAATTTGAACTAAATGAATTGTGTTCACCACTTTTTGGCACTAATTGCGGAGAGCTTGTTTGCTTTGCAGATGAGGATATTAAATGCTCTTCTGTAGAGTCATCGACAACTTCTTCAGTAGAAACAGTCAAATCAGCCTGACGAACTTCAACCTGATGAGCCTGACTATCACTTAGGGTACGTGCATGAGCAACACTATTCCGCGATAGAACAGCTAATTTGGTATCGCGGTGGCTGCCATCGAGAGAAATATTCGAAAGAAATGTTAGGGCGGCCAACCTTCTGCGTGAATGATTCTTTTTTAAGGCTGCTGCCATTCCACGGTTGACCGTATCGATAGACCGGTATTACCGAGTACCAACGTAAACGACCAGGAAAGAGACGGACACTCGACAAGGATTCTTTTGTCAAACGAGGACAACTACTAGGATCACAATTCATTATCACCGCTCGTACACTTAGTCCTGACATTTTCCATTAATGTGCTCACACAGCGCACGTAGATACGTGAACCGGTGTCACTCATCATCGTACTGATTCCTCTCATAAGATTAAAAAACAAATCCTGCTACCAATAAAACAATCTTCCTTCCTACTACGCAACACTGCAACCCATTCCCTTGTCGGCCGAGTATAGTACCCTCTACTTTCTTCTGCGACTGCGCATTTTCTCACATGTGTTAATATCGAAATATATTAACGAATTTTCTAGAAACGTTATGCTTTTCTTTAATAAGGTTTTTCTTTTTTCTCTTCTTCTTTAAAGAGAAACAAAAAATTATTGTTGTCATACATTTTCTGAATTTTATAAAACTTCATCATGCACATTATCTTAGAAGGTTAATCACTAGGCTGCCTCTGTAATCTCTATTTATTCCAATGTTTATGGAATTTTATTTCTATGTTTCCACTACTGTATTGAATATTAAAACTAACAGATGAAGATGCTGATTTTGTAAATATAATTACCTCTTATTTCATTGCTTTGATACAGAAAATTTAGTTCATTGTGTTATCCAGCTGTTTCAGTGGTATTGGATATTAATATCATCATTCAGAAAAATGAAATGTCTAACGCATTAGAAAAAAGATGAAACTGGTTGAATGCTTGTATCTTCCTAGAAACCACAGTCCTCTGTGATAAAAACCATACCTTTCCTATATAGTGACTGATAAAGCTGATTAATTTCGACTACATATTTTTAAATTAAGAAACATGACGAAAAAAGCTACGTATAAAGCTATTTGTAGCTATTTGAAACCGAAACCTATTTATCATTTATTTATATTAATCCCATAATCAAGGTACAGTGCACATTTGAATCAGTCGATTACAATTGACTTGAAAGACAGATGTCCTCATACGTGCTCAATATTTATGAAGTCTTCGACTAAAAATGACTGAAATCAATGAAAGTTACGGAGGAAGTACAGAATCAATATAGGATACACCTGGCATACAGATACAATTTTTTTTCGTGTCATGTCGTGTCTCGCGTCCTACATTTTGGGAATCAAGACTGTCACGAAGATGGTCCACGAGTTCACGAGTCACGGGTCACCTGACCTGATTGACCGCTGTACCATTTTCGAGTCACATGCGACATTATCGATTATAGTAAATACTTAATCATATTATATCATACATAGTAAATAGTTAATCAATGATTTCATAATAAAATTTTGTTTTAATTCCAACCACTACAAACGTTTTAATAATATTCTACACTAAATCGATAACACTGGAAACGATAATAAAATGGTAAAAGAACTCTGCAGCCCTGGAAACATGACACAAAGGTATATTGAGTGATGGATCTATACTATACTTAGTCAATGTCAATACGTATATGTATTATCAGATATTATACATAATTGACAAAACTGAACATTTCTTCTCACTAATTAAATTGAAAATGTTTGTAATGTAACATAAAGTAATCTATTATAAATATATAAATAATTCGTTAAAACAAAATTTTTTAATATTCGCGGATGTAAAATATCTTTTTGCTATTATTAACGTTTACTGCATACTTTTAATTAGATAAAACAAGTACATATTGCACTCCAAAAAAAAAAAAGATAAATGATAACGACTCTGTTATTAATAATAAAATCGTTATTAAAACGTCTTAAATGTCATTACAAATACTAATGCTATTTGTTAAAACTTATTGCATATAAGCAAAATTGAAAATAATTATAATTGCAATTTCTGGCGGTATTATTAATTAAGGATTCTAAACTTACTGAACTGATCCAGAATATAAGTAATATTTATATATATCGTATGTAAATATATTATAAACCTATACATAAATAAATTTATATTAAGTAACTGTACAATATACAAGTTAACTCATTGCAATATTAGATGTAAAAGAAACTAATTTAATTAATATAAAAAAGTTAATCTTATGCAAGATGCAGGTGTCGTCAAGTTATATATTTTATCATGTCAAATAAACTAAAAGACTAGCAATGAGAAAACAAATATTATGTCACAGTATTTATTTGAATTTACGGAAATAATTTTAATATTTTATGATTTTTCAACATTTATCTATGTGTGTGTGTATGTGTTGCATTGCTGATTAAGAAATTCTAAAACTGAAATAAATATTTAATTACTGCAATAACTTTCAAATTTGTATATACTTGATTCTTTTAAGCATTTAACAATTTATAACATAAAATGATTTTAATGTATTTTATGAAATTTATGTGAAATGACACAAAAAGTGATGTTTATCATTAGTAGTATTTTAAAATAGCTAATACAGAAACTTTTTCCATTTATACAACTTCGATTGTTCATATGATCCTAGAATTTTGTAAACAATGTGACAATTATTCAAATAATATTACAAACTAATTTCTACAAGCAACAATATTCATACATTTATCAATAATTATAAGAAATTTATATTTAATTTACACAATAATAGAAAATTCCGTAAACTCTGAAATAATCTAAAAGGACATTGCAACGAGAATAACATCCAATCATTTTAAATATACAAAGCCATCCACACTGTATCATCAAAATAAATAATTTCATCAGTTTCTTTCGATGATCAAACAGATAATTAACAATCATAGTATTTATTGCTATGACTGCTTCTGCTAAATATAGATTTAGTATCCATAACTAAATGTCCAGGCTAGAGCATAAAAATCCTAGAATGGTTATAGATGCTGCCACCGGGTTGACATAGGACTACTTGAAGATTCAATAGCCCTTGATATGGATTCATATAGCCCATGCCCTAACCACATTTGATTCAGTTGCCTGTATTTATCATGACACAGTCGAAGTGGATTCCCTCTTCGTAAACCTTGATCTGTTTCGCCATATTCGTCCAGGTAAGGCGGACAAGCAAACGATCCTCGATTCGAGATTCTTAGGAAAAGAATTTCACACTCTCGTATTCGTAAGAATAATCCTACTCCAGCTCCACATTTACTTGCGTGATATGTGCACGCACCGACCAGTGCATCGTTCAATTCAAATTGACAACAATAACTTTGAGAACATAACATTTCGCCACATACTAGGCACAGCGTCGGTGTTTTAGAATCTTCACGGACGCTATTTGGGCACGTAAACGACGATATCATGTTTATCAACTCACTATAATCTTCTGGAAGCTCCACTAATCTGTTAACTTTCAAAGGTTCTTTTATTATTGTGACTGTACTAGCACCAGATAGATGCATTTGAACAGTGGGATGACTTTTCCAAATATTTATTAATTTTATAATTATATCTAAATTTGGCTTTACTAATTCATCACATGTTGTCGGTAATCCCAAATATGCACAGATATTTTCATATGTAGCTCCATCTATTTTAGTTAGTTCTTCTGGTGCTGGAACATCACATATGTAATGAAAATAGAGAGCACAACATCTAAGAAAAGGCAAAGAAGCATTTGTGACTCGTCTCCATATATTAGCAACTACTTGAGTGCCAACATTAATGTTTAAAACTTGAGCCAATGTTAAGATAGATTCGGAGAATGTATTTTCAGTTGTCTCTGGGTTATCTACATCCATCTCTTCATTAAAGTCTGATGTTAATAATATTTTTACTATTAGGGATATAAATATAAGCTGCAAGGCATAAAATTCAAATATCCCACCAGTAATGATTGATGGTACAGCCTTAAAGCTTGTACAAAAAAGACTAGGAAATGAATTAATTAAAGGAATAAGCATTCCAAATGGATCCCAATCGAAAATACTTGGGCCTTCAGGTGAAGTTTTTAACAATAGAGTTAAAAGAGAAATTGCATTATTTTGGATAATATCCCTATCTGTCCATGTCACTTTTGTACTAGTACGTAATTGACATTTAGATCCCAATACAGCAGAAATTCTTGCAAGTCCTTCTAGACTGTCTCTTTGTCTAGATGATAAAGCACCTAATAAAGGTTTATTCATGTCACGGAGAAGAAATTCTATAGCATGAATACTGTATGCTGTTGATTTCCATGCTAATAATGGTACTCTTTCATCATCTTCATCTGGTTCGGTGCCAAATTCTTTTGTGTATATTGCTTGTGCAAAATGTTGAATTGTAGATATTAAATTTTCTGAAATGGATGGACCAGTTTGATTATAATTTAACTCAAACATATTTTCTACATTTCCAAGTTGATTACGAATAGCTTGTATATGACATGGAACTGGCATTATGCAATACCGACATGTCGGATCGTGTTCGTCTTGAATACATTTTGGTCTATGTAAATTATCACTTAATCCACATCTAACTTGCATTGTAATACTTAAAGCCTCCAACCATGTACGAAAATCAAGTTCAGGTTGATTTTGAGGAGTTGGTTGTAATGTTCTTAAAGCTGGTAAAAGAGGTAAAATAGTGTTACTGAGACATTCGCAAAGTGGGCAAAGATATTCATGTTTCTCCACATCAAAACTTGCCGGTTGTCGCAAACGGAATGGTCTTCTATTCTCTTTTGCAAGAACATTGTTAAAATATTCTTGCCAACAATTAACATGCATTACATGACCACAAGTACCAATATGTGGTGATGCACCGAGCTTTGCAGAAAGATATAATGGATCAGGTTCATTAGTGTTAGCCCTGTGTTGACAGAGAACTGTAGATTGTTGAATAAATGCAGCTAACACCATTGCTTGACCAGCTGCTGTTACAATTTGATCTTCCTGACACAAAATACAAGTTTTATAAGTTTCTTCACCGGATATTCTGGATGTTTGTCCAATACCAACAGCAACAGGTATTTTTTGAGGGCATTTTTTTGAATTCATACTAGAGTCTTGGTCATTAGATTTATTCACATCTAAAGCTGCTTCTTCAAATAATTCAGCATTCTTTTTCATAAAATGTTTCTGCATAGCAGCCATTTGTGCCATTATTCTTGCTCGTTTTTCTGCTGCCATTTTTGTTCTCCATTCTTTATCAGTTTCAACATTTTCTGTACGTGATGCAGTAGGTGTTGTACTAACATCCATTGGAGTATTACCAGCAACTTCTCTGTATCTTGTTAAAATCCATGTTAATAAATCTTTATGAGCTTCTATACGTGGAGTACTAGATAAACCTTCTAACAATTTATAGATTTTCCACTTTGCAGCCCTTGTTGTAAAAGCAAAAAAAGGATAATAACCAGATTCTTGTTCTTGAAGAGCATACCCAATAAGATGTAAAATTTTATGTACTTGT